AAATTAATTAATTAATTTTTTAAAAATGGCTTTGTGGGCAAGCAGATGGTACGGGAGGTTACGGTGGCTGGATCTCACATGGCCAACTATGCAGTTCAAGTCCTGGACCCAGAGGATTGAAAAATGCACTGGGTAAGTGTGCATGCATGCCCAAAATCCTAAGAGGAAAATGGAGGAGAAAGGATTGTGGCTTGACCCTCCCCCCAGGAGGTGATTTCTCATTTTCCCTCTTCTTTTCATCTCTCTCTCTGTCTCAGGTGAGTACACATGCCCTATAACAAAGTTTTTTTAAAAAAAAAAGAGGAAGGAAAAAAAGAAAATGGTTTTGTGAATACAAGGTATTGTCACCTTTTTTCCTTTTTTTTTGTTAGCCTGTCAACACTTCCTTGTAGCTTTAGTGAGCAGCTTGACATACTAGGTGCAAGGACTCTGCAAACCTTGAGTTAGTCATGTCGCCCGTCAGGTCCTAGGTTAATTTTCCATGACTGTAATAATAAAATACCACACACTCGCTGACTTAAAACTATAGCAATTCATTCTCTTACAGTTCTGGAGGTCAGAGTTCCAAAATGAAGGTATGGGTAGGTCCAGGCTCCTTCCAGAAGCTCTAGAGAAGTCCTTCCTTGATCCTCTCAGCTTCTAGAGGTCTTAGGTGTTTCTTGAGTTAGAGCTGCACAAGTTCAATCTTTGCCTCTGTCTTTACATGGCTTTCTTCTCTATATCTATATGTGTCCTTTTCTATCTCTTTTTTTTTTTTTTGAGAGGTTTTCACTATAGGGCATGTGTGCTTGCTAGACAGAGAGAGACATAGAGACAGAAAGCAAGAAATCACCCCCCAGGGGGGATGGTCATACTGTAATCCCTTCTCCTCCATTCTCCTCTCGGGATCTTGGGCAGGCAAGCACACGCGCCCAGTGTGAGTTCTAAGCCACCGGGTCCAGGACACGAACTGCAGTCGACTATGTGGGAATCCAGCAACATAGCCATTATGCTAACTGCTGGTTCCCCCCTTTCTATCTCTTTTAAAGATATTCTCATTTGAACCACCATAATAGAGTCAATTTAATCTCATCTCAGTCTCTACCTTATTTCCATCTGAAAGACTTATTTTTAACTAAGGCCACATGCTGAGGTTCAAGGTTGACAAGAATTGAAAGGGGAAGGGCACTATTCAATCCCCTATAAGCCCTAGGACCTCCATCTAAACCATTTCTGCCCCTCATTCAGTGAACGCTTTTCTTGAGTTTCAGATCACATCGACCAATCCGGTTCCCTAGTCTTCTGACTAATGTCCAGCCCTAACCCATTGTGCAATGTGTCGTGCATGAGGGGTGGTGGGGAACAAAGTTCAGTTGCCTCATGGTGAGGTTAAAAAGGGTTCATTCTGGAAATAGGAGGAAGGGCAAAATAAACAAGTGTGTAAATTCCAGTCTTTGAGAAAATGGCTTGACGTAGTAAATGGAACATACGATGAGTAGCCAATCAGATTTGGATCATTGGTTTCCATTTATGGGGCTAATAATAAGACCCACCACCAAGGTGTTTTAAGTATTATATTGTTTCACCAGGCCAGCAGATGATGTGGAGGTTAAGGCGCTAGATCCCACATGACTGACTGTGCAGTTTGAGTCACAAACCTGGTGCCTTGTAAAACATGTGTATCTAAAATCCCGAAAGGAGAATAAAGGAGAAGGGAAGCAGCATAACCATCCCCCTGAGGGGGTGATTTCTCACTTCCCTTCTGTTTCTCTGTCTTCAGCAAGCTCGTGTGCCTTACAGCAAAAATTTAAAAATAAAATATAAAGTATTACCTTAAAAGAGCACAGAGTAGTGGCCAGCAGGTGGTGTGGTGGTTAAGGCGCTGGACTCCCACATGGCCAACCATGGGATGAGTCCCAGACCTGGTAGCCTGCTTTCTCACTTTCTCTCTCTCTCTCTCTCTCTCATCCTCTCACTCTGATCAATTAAAAAATAGTAGTAATAACAAATGGAATTAAATAAACAAATTTTTAAAGAAACAGCACAACATAGTCTTGTTTCACCAAATGAGAAATAAATAAAGAAGCTAGAATCAATGTTTATGAACATTTTAAGGATCTATCTTAACATTCTTTTTCTATTGCGTGGTTGTATGATCTTCACTGAAGTCTTATGAGATAAACCTTATAAGAATATGGGATCCTAACCAGAGTCCTGTATACCAGCTAGTATACTCTAGCTGCTATTTTATAAATATGGAGAGCATGCCCTTTAGCCCGCCATATGTATTCTCAGTTATTGTGCTGGTAGTGTACTTGTAAATGATTAACAACTAGTTCTCTGAAAAACAGTGCATGCATGTATAGTTTGTTATGAGCTTTACTTTATAAAGGATGTATAACACATAATTTACAAAATGTAAACTTACTGTGTTTTAATAAAGTGTACAATATAGCCAATAGATTCTTACAGAATGCCTGTGATACATTGTCTTAACTCACATCCATGGTCAACTTGTAGTTACAATTGACAAACCAATGTAGTTCCAACTTGAAAGCTTTTTTTTTTCCTTTTAGTTTCTTTCTTTCATGTGAGTGAAGGAGAGAGAGAAAAGGATGAGCACTCTCCACAGGGTCTCATGCCATGATCCCCCCAAGCTTTCCCAGCCAGCCAGGATCATAGGTGTGCACCTGTTTGAGACAGAAACCAGCCCAGGCCTGAGAGATAAGCCAGAAGAGAAGATTGCAGAAAAGAGTTGAAAGCAACCCCCTTCCCAGACAGAAAGCCATAGGGACTGTATGGTCAACTGGATGGAGCTCCAGGCAAAGGCTGTGTCTCAAGATGTTTGGAGTCAATCAAGAAGCCAAAGTACTAAGTAATTGATAGTTATTGATCTTGTACCAGAAACATAGCCTACAAAGAATGTCATGTGTATTGTACACTGTTCTCTGTAGCTACTCACCCACTGCTTATCTGATTTAATTTAGAGTAAACGGGCTCTACTCTGGTACAATTTTGCTTCCGCTCCAAGAGTTTTAGCCTTCTGCTTTAACCCGCCTCTTGTCTCAATCCCTCGCGACACCCTACCTTCAAGCCCTGAGTTTCTGACATGCACCTGGCATGTGAAGACTGCCTTAAGAACAAACGCTGTGATCTTTCATATGGATCCAGCACCGCTTGAGCAGCACTGTAAGCTGTGCTGTGTTTAAGCTGTGCTTTAAGCCTGCCCTATTTAATTTCTTTTTTTTAATTTAAAGAAATATGAACAAACAGAGATGTATGTCAGAACACCCTTCGCTCACCAGCGATGCTAGTGACTTTTTGCTGAACCTGATGATAGTTTTTCTTCACTTTTAAAATGCTATTTCCATTTTGAAACTCAAGAAAAGTGTACATTGAATGAGGGTCAGAAATGATTTAGATGGAGGGTCTAGGCCTTTTAGGGGATTGAATAGTGCCTTCTCCCCTCAATTCTTGTCTACCTGGAACCTCAGCATGTGGCCTTAGAATAAATTAAAATAAGTCTTTCAGGTGAAAATAAGGTAAAGACTGAGATGAGATTATATTGTGTGTGTGCTACAGCCATGGCACACTTTAAAGTTTAACCAGCACTGGGACCAGCAGACGGTGTAACGGTTATGTCACTGGACTCCCATGTAGTCAACCGTGGTTTGAGATCCGGATCCAGTGGCTTAAACTCATGCCGGGCAAGTGTGCACGCATGGCCATCCCCGCTGGGGGGTGATTTCTCACTTTCTGTCTCTCTCTCTCTGGCAAGTGTGCACGTCCTATAGCAAAAATCCCTCAAGAAAAAAAAAGAAACATTAACCTGCACTATTATGCTTTTTCTGTCATTTCCTTATATCTAGACAATCAACAAAATAATAAATCAAAGCTCTGATGTACATTGCTCGCTGATTTCCGTGGTATAAACCCCCACCATGGCTGACTGCAAGCTCCCAACATGATGTCATTGAAGGCAGAGCTGCAAAGAGGTGCAGCAGCACCCACACCCTGGCAGTGCGTCTCCACCCTAGAGATGCCATCGATGTCGGTGACCTCGAGGGCACAGATGTCTGTAATGTGAGAACGTGACCAGGAAGTAACGAGTTTTAAAGTGTTTTTCTTTCATGAGAGAGTGAGAGACAGAGAGATACAGGAACCTCAGCAGGGTCTTCACACCATGAGCCACCCCCAGTCTTGCCTGGGTCAGATCTCAGGCACACACGATTGCAGCCAGGTTGCTCAGGGAGGTCCCAGGATGTGAACCCAGGACCTTTTCCATGTGAATCCAGTTGTGTCACCATTGCACCAGCCACTAGTCCCAAGGTTTAAGGTTTTATTTCCAGTTTTTAAAGTAATTTATCTAACTATAAGTTTATATAGTTTAATTGTATATAGGTTTATGTAATTTAATAATGAGCATGTTTATTAACTAACTCACAAGATTCCTGAAAATGCCACTGGGAGTTGGTATGTGGCAGCTTCAGCACACACTGGTTATGGTATGGGAAGTTTGGCTGGGCAGTCAGGAACGGAGGGAGGGAAACTGAGAATACAGAGCAAATTCGCTAGCTGTAACTACCTGCTCACCTTGAACAGTGCATTTGACCTGTTAAGATTAATCCTGAAAAATAGCACCCTGGCCTTTCAAAGTCTCCTTGGGAACACTCGTCAGGGCATGCTCCTGTCTTCCATTTCTAGAGCTAAACTTGTGAAAAAGCACGTCTCATGGCTGTCAGCTCTAGCCTTTTATCTTCAATAGAAAGCTAGACATAAACTCTAAAATAAAGAAGGCTCCTCAGAACCCTACACTGGACTCCACAGGGAAGTTGGGCTTCTGTCCCGTGCCCCACACTTGTCTGCTCATCTCCCTGTGGCTGTGGCACCAGGCTCAGACCACCTGTAGAGGTATGTTCTGAAATCATGGGAAAAAACGGGAGACGGACGTCTGCTCATCAAAATTCAGATGTCTGGGTTCAGCTTTGATCTGACAAAACTTCAGCTTTTTCTGCACTCTAAGCAGAGTAACCAAGAGAACTGCTGAAAACAGCTGTGACATCCGTTTTCTGGAGACTGCTAAGAAAGGAGGAAGGGGAGCTCACTTCGACTCAAAGCCTGGGTTTGACTGAAGTGACAGCACAACCCCTTTCCCGACCCCACAGCCGGAGTGTCACTTCTTCAGAAGCGTGCTTCTAGAGAACAGTGAAGTGATTTACGGCCCGAAAGATGAGCAATCCTCAAGACAGAGGCAGAAAAAGTCCCAGAGCGACAGGAAGCTGGTTCAGGAGCCTGCTGGTTCCTGATGCATAAACTAGACAGCAGCGGCAGCACCACCTAATGTGGAGTTCGCGTCTGCCCTGGCCTGGCCTCTGTGAACAACTGCCAGGCTCCGGGCCAAGCCTCCTTCCTTCTCTCCACCGGCTGATGGATCCCACGGGGCTCCTCTCCTTGAACCTCCTGCTGCTTCTGTCCCTGACTTTTGAGCTGAGCCATGGCACAGGTGAGTGTTCATTTGTTGGAGGTCTGAGTCCTACAATTAGCTGCTAGCGATCTGCACCGATGGATGAATGGAGAAGGTGCAGGGGTTGGGGACTGCTATGTGGCCACGTTTTTCTTAGGAATTGGCTCTGAGTTTCAACTGCCGCTTTCAAAGAGGAAGGAATGTTGTGAATTCCTGGCCCTGGATTCAGAGGCTCAGCCTCATCAATTCTACCTTCTTTGGAAACCAGGAGCTCTAAGTCAAAGGCACCTTTCCTATGCCTGATCAGCCTCTCGGTGAGAGGCTCCGGTGGGAGTAAGTGAGTGATTTTACACAGGCATTTGACAAAGACCCAGGCTACAGGGACTAAGACAGAGGGACGGAGCTCTGGGAGATTTGACCTACCTGCCTGCCGTGAGAAGAGATTCTCATGCACTCAAGCAGACAAACCAGGAACACAGTGCAACTAAAACTAAGAGCTATAGAGGGAAGATGGGGTAGAAGTGAAAACCTCAGGCCTTTGACTATGAACAGGCAGTAGCCACAGTGTGGCCATACTTGTGGCTGTTTTCCTGGAAGAGAAGGTTCCAAGGCACTAAGAGGGGGAGAGGTTGGGATTTCTGGAGCCCAGAGCTGGTTACTGTGTGTGAGAAATGCAAATCGGGAACTCTCCAGGTCAGAGCCTCTCCACCAGCTGGGCCAGGCTCACAGTGGAATATTTGGAGTTAGTGTCTGCTTCTGTCTTTTGGGCTCATAGTCCTCTCAAGGCTAACTACAGTTTTCTGTTCAGTAATATCTGAGCTATGCAAAAAGGTACTGCAGATAGAAAAAAGCAAGCAAGATGTGGACTTCGGACCGACTGAGGAGTGGGAGTGAGACTCTCGTGCTAAACGCCTTGGGACTTTGGTTAGACTGTGGGAAGTGGCCTGGACTAGAGGCGGCTTTAGGGAAAGGGGGAAATCCTGAGGTCCAGGGTGTTTTGGGCTGGGAGTTTTCAAGACTGCAAATCCATTATGGACATTTCCAGTAAAAGCCCCGAGATATGCCCGGGATGTGGGGGTGCCGTACATGAGATGTGTCTCTTGCCAGACTACGAGATGAAGAGGACTTTGCTCAATCCCCACTTTCCCTTGGAATTGGTGGACCCTCAGTAAGACCCAGACGGCTCTTACTTTCTGAGCTAGGAGAGAAAGATCTGAGCTCCAGGCTCCGAAACCCAGCGAAGCCACTCTAGGTGGTAGCAAGGAAAGCCACGTGTCCCTTGCTGTGTCCCATTCATGACTCCGTTTTTGGAATAAAGCCTGATGACTGTGAGAAGTGATGGCGCTGTCCTGTAGGCTGGACTTTCCATCTCTTTACTCACTTCATTCCTGGCCAGGTTGGTCCATGGCCTCTCAGGTGCTGCCATCAGCTGTTCCACTGAAGGTTTTGCAGGTCTCTAGAGAGAGACAGCCCAGCCCCATAGGAGTGTCTACCCAACTGGCAGTTGCTCTCTTCCTTGCTTTCTATCTTCTTTAAAATAGGTACAAAATTTTTTCAGTGTTTTTATTTTTAAATATGTACTCTTCTGTGGAAACTCAATAAAGCCAAGACAGAAATATAATTTGCAAATGGGACAGATCAGTCATGACAGATTTACCCAACCAAGAAGCTTGATTCTTGTAAAAATCAATACCCACCTTTCTTCCTTCCCATCTCTACTCAGCTTAACTTCTCATTCTTAATCAGAATTGTAAAAAATCAAAGTTACACGTCCCTTATCCCAATAAAGTGAATTTTCTACTTCCCCAATGAGGGTTGTATTCCTCTTACGGGACTTTATCTTTCAGAGCAGTTCTAAATTTGTGCAAAATCGAGTAGAAGATACAGATTTCAAATAGATGCCTCCCTCCTCTCCCAACACACACAGCCTCCCCACTTATCAGCATGCTCCACCAGACTGGTCCATTTGTCGTAACTGATGAGCCTACCCAGCGCCATTATTGTATTCCTCATGTAAGTCCTCCCTACCTGCTTCATACACACATTCATAGAGGTGAAGGGCAAGTGTGTGCATTCTGGGCTTGGTCCAACCTCTGTGTTCAGTAGCTCCTTCTATCCCAAGATGTCGATCTAGGCACTTCCATTTCTCAAAAACTTTAATGCTGTGATATGACGCCATGGTCTTCACTGTCTCCAGCACTGGACTGGAAATTGAACATCAGAACTATTTGGTTTTTTCCATAGTTGAACTTTGGGCAATTCCATTTAGCACTTATCTATTGAGGCCGCATGATGTGGTAGGCAGTACAAGGTGTGCACCTGACACAACGCCTGGTACAGGAGAGCCCTATTTGTTGAATGAATAATAGTAGTAAGTACCGTAAGCTTGCTATAAACCAGGCATGGTTTTAAGTGCTTTCTGTGTGCCATTTAGTTCTCACACCAACCCTGTGAGATATATTTTATTATTGTTATCCTTGCAACTTTACAAATAAGAAAAAAGAGGCACAGATAAGTGATTTACCTGTGCTTGCATAGACTGATTCTAGAGGCCTCAGCAAATGAAACTAGATGACTGGGGGGAGGGGAATGCTAAAATGTGCATACGAGTCCCAAGGCAAGCACTGTAACTTTTATCATTGACACGTATGAGTTGAATTGAAATGAACTGAAATATTTTTGTTTAATTTCAAAATGTGACAGGTGTTGATAAAATCATAGGAAAATGTAAAGGCCATGTGAGCACTGTGTATACTAAAATGAGGAAAGCGAGTAGAAACATTTTTTATCACACAAGTTTTCATGTAAGTATTTTAACAACTGATTTGTTACCATAAGAGTACTACGTGTGTGTCTATGAATCTTCAACAATACAAGAGGATACAGAGTGAAGACTAAGCTCCTTCCATGCCCCTTCTAGGAGGTGACCACGGTTACCAGTTAGTTTCTTGAACGTCTTTCCAAGTATAGGATTTCTATGGAACATGAAATAAAACGTTCTAGATAGAGGTACTCATGCAGAGGTGAAGTGCTTCAAGTGTTGACAGAGAATGGCAAGTGGTCCATTGTATCTGAAACCCAGGGTTCATAGCTAAGGCACTTCCATCTCCTCAACTGGAAAGTGGGGAAATGGCCCCCAGCCTTTACTCCAATAATATACCTCTTAGGGATGTTACAAAGGTAAAGCCAAGTACATTCTGATTTAGAGAAAGGAGAACTTAGACTCTGTGTCATCATTCGTTTCCTCTTTTATCCATTCACCTTATTCTGTTCTTTCGTTTACTTGGGCAACAAAGATTTACTGAGCCTTCATTATGTGCCAGGTAGGTATTAGGAATATAGTAGTGAATAAAAGGGGCACGGCCCCTACTCTTGCAAGCTTAAAGTTGCTTAAGGATGATAAGCATTGAACCAGAATTGAAAACGTGAAGCGTGCTATGAAGGAGAGATGCAAAGTGCATTGGAAGCGCGTGGTAGCAAAACCTCACCCAAAGTACAGGTCAGGCAAGTCTTCTCTAGGGAAGGTGGAGACCTAGAGAATAGACGTGAGCCGGGCAAAGATAGAGCGTTATGGGCTTTTCGTCTGGGGAATGGTGAATGCCAGTAGTCTAAGACAGACAGACCCAGCAATAGCAAGGAATAGGAAAAGGACTTTGACTGATAGGAGTACAGTTGGAAAGCAACCTTGAACAAGTTATTTTGGGTCTAAATTTACCATGAGAACTCCAGGGTCCATGCATCCTGTCGTTTCTGCCTTTAGCAAGTTGCTAAAAGCACATGTGCCAGTATCAGAGCCAGACTCCCTGGCCCCACAACCACTAGAAAGAAAGAAAATAAATAAAAGGCATCGTGGGTCTTGTGAAAGGCTGGCTACATCCTACTAATTTCAGACCGTATCCATGGGCCCGTGTGAATCACTCTACTTTCGAAGCAGAATTACCCATGAAGGAAAGTGAGTTGGTGTCAATAAGTACAAATGTTTCCTCCCAGACTCTGGTAGTAAACAGGGGCTGACTGAATCACAAACTCACTGGAAAACACTCATCAGGCAGCAGCGTGTCTCAGGAGCAGGAACTCCACTTGAAGGGTTTGTGAACCACTTGAAAGCCCCCGCTTATTTTTCCGCTCTGCTTAGGTGGGGATGATCTCAAGTACCCCCTCCAGACTTGCCACTCGCACACTCAGGTGTCGCATCACCGCTCTTTATGTGGGCTGTGGGTGTAAGAGTCTCCTCCTGATGAAGTTTTCATTCCACTCCCATGACCGAGTGTGTATGAACCACCCAGTAGTCCTTCTCATTTGCTCCTCGCCTTCTCTTTTCTTCTTTCCTTCCTATATTTTTTCACTTTACATATTTTTGTTTACTTTATATAAAAAAATTTATTTTTTGGCTACTCCTTACCTTGTCCTATAGCCTTTCTTTTTTTCCTTTTCTCTTTATTTATTTATTTATTTATTCGGAGAAGTTTTGCTATAGGGCACATGTGCTCGCCAGAGAGACAGAGAGACAGAAAGTGAGTAATCACCCCCCCGCAGGGCAATGGCCACGCTGCAATCTCTTCTCCTCCATTCTCCTCTTGGGATCTTGGGCACGCACATACACATGTGCCTGGCATGAGTTTAAGTTACCAGGTCCAGGACTCAAACTGCTGTCGACTACATGGAAGTCCAGTGACGTAACCATTACACTATCTCCTGGTCCCCTATATCCTTTCTTTCCCTCTGTTCCCACCAATTCAAAGTTCTGAAAGCAACCACGGGGCAAGAAGTCTGCATTATTAGGTGGGGGAATGGGCACATGGGTGACATTTGGGAGAGTAAAGGATTATGGCTTGAGAATGCGAATCATTTCCATTTCTTTTTTCTCGGTATCAAAAATAGGCCTATAAAAATTCAGCAGTGTGGTAGTAACTCCTAGTTTTGTTTTGAACCTCAGATCTCTTTGAGAGATGACATTTATGAATGAACTTCCAGAAAAATGCACACATGTTTATGTCCATATGCTTTTGTACACAAATTCAAGGATCTGCAATTTTTTTTTTGAAAAAGAGATTTTTGCTATAGGGTTTGTGTGCTTGCCAGAGAGACAAAAAGACAAAAAGTAAAAACTCACCTCCCAGGGGGCATGGCCATGCCATACTCACTTCTCCACCATTCTCCTCTTGGGATTTTGGGCACACATGGACATGCACCCGACCTGAGTTTCAAGCTGCTGGGTCTGGGACTCGAACCACAGTCGACTAAAAGATAGTCAAGTGACATAACCATTATACCATCTGCTAGTCCCTCAGGGATCTGTACTTCTAAAGATGGCTTTAAATTTTCTCCCATGCCTTAGTATGTAGAAATTGAAATTCAAGTTCAAAAGTTTACTCTCTTGGGTACTCTGCTTGTAGTTAAGGCATGTGGCCACCAGACATGCCACATTATCTACAGTCAGGTATTTGTAAGCCTGATGGGGAGAAAGTCTAACATGCTTCCCACTTTATCTATGTGAATACAACCACCACCACAGTAAGAATAACATTCCTCATTTAATCTAGCAACAGGATGAGCACTCTGTTTTATGGATTGATACATTGGCAATTTTTTGTCATTACAATTTTGGCTATAGGGTGTGTGAGTTCTCTGGAGAGAGCGAGAGAGAAAGAGAGAGAGAGAAAGTGAGAAAGCACCCCCAGGGGAATGGCCATGTTGCAATATTTTCTCTCTCATTCTACTCTTGGGATTTGGGGCACACATGCACACATGCCCACTATGTTTCTCAGGCCGCTGAGTCTAAGACTTGAGCTGCATTGTTGGCCCTGTGGAATCCAGCTGTTTTAACCTCCATGCCACGAGCTGGCTTGATACCTTGGTAGTCTTTAAAAGAACAAATGCCTAATTGCCTTTCTCACCTTTCCTTTAGAGTTAGGAGTTTCAACACCTCTAATTCTGATTTTAGCCTGAGTAGATTATATTTTCCTTTTTCCCAATTGCTAAATCTCTAATCTGATATTAGCTGGACCTTTACTAAACAGTGTCGGGATCTCAGGGCATTTTGGTATCAAGAACCGCTTAGCCAGCCCAGCTATAATGGCACAGGTGGAAGCACACTGCTGTGTGATACTGAGCCATTGGGGAGACCAGGGCTCTGATCCTGGATGGACTTGTACACACCAAGTACAACTGTCCATACACATGATCCTGGCTGGCTGGAAGCCTGGGAGGAGAATTGCAGCATGGTGAGACCCTGTTGAGGGTACTTCTTTCTTTTGGCTGATTTGCTCACTTATCAAACAATTCATCTTAACCACAAGTTAATTGTGTAAGATCTCTTCTAGGTAGCTGCATTTTAAATAGACGGTTTTATTTTACTCTTTTGACTTTCCTATCAACTAGAACAATCTATGCTCTCTCTGAGTCATGGGCTCCTTCTCTTATGAAGACCAGTTTATGGCTCAGTTCAGTTATATACATGTTAAGTAAGCTAGATAAGGGAGATTCTAGTTAGGTAATATGGTTTTCAGCATTCCTACATTGAACAGATATTTACTTAAAGTGTCCTGTGTGCCAAGAACTGCTGTAGATTTCAAGGACAAAACAGTGAACAAGATCAAGTTCTTCCTCTTGAGGGGTTTGGAATCCACTGGGGAGACAAAAATAAAGAAATTCACAACATAAGGCAGTGAAAAGTGCGTTAAGTAGGGGGAGCTGGGTTTTCTTTGTGGCACAGTGATTAAAGGAGACAGATCCAACATGGCCAGCCACAGTTCAAATCTCAGGCCCCGGGGCTTGAAAAACACACTGCGTGCCTAAAATCCTGAAGGTTTGGAGAAATGGAGGAAAAAAGAATTGCAGCATGATCACGCCCCTTGGGGAGAGGGGTGCTCTCTCTGGTGAGTGCACACATGTTCTGGCAATTAAAAAAAAGAAGAGGAGAAGGCTACTTTTAGATAGATGGTCAGAGAAAGTCTCTCAGAGGAGAAACCTTTTTGAGCAGAAACTTAAAAGTGAAAGAACAAGCTAGCCAGGTATGTAAAGGAAGAGGTTACCAGAGAGAGGAACAGCAAATTGCAAAAGCTCTGAGATAGAAATGTTCTCTGTGAGTTTAAGGAATGGCCAGGATCCAGTGCAGTCACACCGCAGTATGCAAATGGAGTCAGAATAGTACCAGGAATTGCGTATGCAGAGTCTCTGAAACCACATCATTCCAAGACTATGATTTTAGTCTACAGATGCTAGAAATCCCTGGAAGGTTAAAAGAAGGTGTGAGACAAAGTTGGGCATGGTGTTACATTCATTGTATGGATGCAGGGAGATCAGTTGTTAAGATAGTGGCAGTACCCAGGCCTGTGGTGATGGTGGTCAAAATGAAGGAAGTATGGAACGCTCAGATGACTGACATATTTTGAAGTCAGAACCAACAGGATTTGCTGTTATATTGAATGTAGAGTATGAGAGAATGAAAGGAGTCAAGAAGGATTCCAATATGATTCCATTCAATGGTCTCAGAAATTAAGTGAATGATAATGTTTGCAGAATAGGGTACGGGGATCAAGAGTTCATTGGCCAAGTTTGAAATGCCCATTAGACCCCCAACTACTGAGTGATATAGGTAGTTGGGAGTACAGTGAAAGGTTTGGGTGGGAGATAACTCTATGCATCCCCAAAATATGTCAAACTATGCATCTAGATGAGAAACTGGATGAGTAAGGAAGGGGAAGAGAAGTCTGAGAACAGACCCCTGGAGTGAATGCTCCAATATGGAGGGATTTGGAATAGCAGAAGGTTCCTGCTAAGTAGACTGAGCAGGGGCAGTTAATGAGGTCGGAGGAAAACGAGGGGAGTGTGGTGTTCAAGGGTCAAATGACTACAGTGTTTCAAGGAACGCGTGATGAATTGTGTCAAGGGTTCCTGAGAAAGTGAGAAAGATAATGACAGGGAATTGGCTTCAAGGGGTAGATGCTGACTGATAAAGGTAGTTTCAGTGAGTAGCCAGGAAGAATGACTGTTGGGAGTGGGCACAAGGTAAAAAGGGGTCAGGAGATGGGAACAGAAGGTATAAGTACACATTTAGGAACTTTGCTGTGAAGGAAAACAGAGATGGGGAGGTCACTGGAGATGGATATGCTATTAGAGGAGGGATTTTTATGATGAAGGAAACAATGTGTTTGTATTTGCACATTGGTGAAAATAACTCTGTAGAAAACTGATAATGCAAGGAGTGGGGGCATTGCAAAAGCAAAGCCTTTCTGGTACCTCTTTGGAGCCCTCATGGTGAGTGCCCCATGGAGGAGAAGGCTGATTTTAAATGGAATCATAGACCAGACCAGCCATCCAGGTAGGCAGGATGATTTGGTGGTGATAATAAATAGAAGTGCTCTGTTCTTTCTTCTTCTTCTTCTCCTTCCTCTTCTTCTTCTTCTTCTTCTTCTTCTCCTTCTTCTTCTTCTTCTTCTTCTTCTCCTTCTTCTTCTTCTTCTTCTTCTTCTCCTTCTTCTTCTTCTTCTTCTTCTTCTCCTTCTTCTTCTTCTTCTTCTTCTTCTCCTTCTTCTTCTTCTTCTTCTTCTTCTTCTTTCCTTCTTTCCTTTCCTTTCCTTTCCTTTCCTTCTTTCTTCTCCTCTTCTTTTCTCCTCTTTTTTTCCCCTCCTTCTCCTTCTTCTTTTCTTCATCTATTCTGAGAGAGAGAGAGAGATTTTTGCTGTATGATATGTACACTCATTGGAGACACACAGAAAGAAAGAGAGAGAGAAAAAAAATCATCCCCTGGGGGATGGCCTTGCTGTAATTGCTTCTGTTCCATTTTTCTCTTGGGATTTGGGGCATGCATGCAGACATGCCGGCATGAGTTTCAAGAGCTAGGTCATCAACCGAGAGAGGAGGTGGGTTGTGGGTTTAAAGAGTGGAGGCAGGTTGTGGGTTTTAAGAGAGGAGGCGGTGTTAACTAATCAGCAGTACATTCCTTTGCAGTGGGTTGAAGGGTTTTTGGTTATTTTCCCCCCTTGTTGGCTCAGATGATTTAAGAAAGAGAAATGAAATATCTCACTCTTGGCCTTATTAACTGCCTCAAGGAGTCACAATGGGATTCCACAATGAGCTCTGAGCTCACCCCTCCCTAACTCCACATCCCTCAGACTTTCCTGTTTCCCTCATCTCTGTGATGCTCTGTCACCTTGGTCCCCAGAGCTCCTGAGCTCAGTATCCTTCCCCCTTGCTCTCCATCCTTCATCCTATATACCTAGTGGTGGCGAGAACCCTAGTAGAGGAATTAACAGAACTGGATTCTAGTCCTAACTCTGCCACTTACTAGTTATGTGGCTTTAGGGAAGTCATTAACTTCAGTGTGCTTTCTTTAGGTGCCTTAACCATTCACTGGAGTCAACAGAAGCCCAGTGTTCCAGTTAGACTATACAGCTGTATCCACAAGAATTTTACCATTTTGATTGTGATTTCTGAAATATTGAGACTATATTGAGGACTCTTCATGGCAATCTGAGTGTCTTTTTTAAAACATAAATTTATTTATTAATTTCTTCCCTGAACAAGAGAGAGACAGAGACAACACCCTGACAGGGCCTGGCACTACAATCAACCCACCCCCACCCCACCAGCCCTAGCAGCCCAGAATTATGGGCACACGTGTGGCTGGCACACTCAGGAAGGTCTCCAGACATGAACCTAGATCCTTCACTTGTGGGTCAGCCTCACAGGCTGTCGAGTCTTACTTACCACTGCAGTGTCAGGTCCTCATTTTTTTTTTTTAATTATGGCAGTTTTTACAGGCCACTGAGGACCTGGAAAACCCCAGGGAAGAGGGAGAGTGTATCTGTTATCCTCAAAAGCTTCCATAATAAAGGACCCTCTTTGTTCCCCTCCCACAGGTGGAAATGTGCTGAACTGTCCGAAGATTCTCCGGCAGTTGGGAAGTAACGTGTTGTTGCCTCTGATGAATGAAGGCATAAATAAGAGCATGAACAAAAGCACCCGCATCCTCGTCACAAAAGCAGAATCACCAGGAAGCAATGTCAAGACGATTATCGTGTCTGTCCATCCATACAAAGAGGACTCTCCAGATTATGTAGGCAACGGCTATACGTTTCATCTGGAAGACTTGAGCCTGGGCATCCGGGAAAGCAGGAAGGAGGATGAGGGATGGTACTTCATGGCTTTGGAGGAGAACATCTCAGTCCAGAACTTTTGCCTGCAGCTAAGGCTTTATGGTAATCACAGTGACTACCCCAGTCTACACTGCAGGGCTAAGATGGACCCTCATCCAAAAATGCAGTCCTCTTTCAGAAGCAAAGTGTATTCAGAATTGGAAGCAACTTGAATGATCAACTAGTCCAGGGGTATTTAAACTGGTTCACAGAAGAGGCTTTAGAGGTTGACATTTTTCTTTTTTTCGGATCACACATTGGTAGTAGCTATTCTGTATTGGTTACCTTACCCCATCTCCAGCTTTTGGGCTGGAGAGCTTAGAGTCCCAAGACTCTAGTTTTACCAGTAAGGCTTTGTTTGAAAAAAGGATTCTTTTTTTTTTTTCTCAATTTTTAAAAAATTATTTTATTTAACTGCATTTATTTACTTATTTTTTAATTTAATCAGAGAGGGACAGAGAGAGAAATAAAGAGAGAGAAAGTGAGAAAGCAAACCACCAGGTCTTGGACTGGAACTGTGGTTGGCCATGTGGGAGTCCAGCACCCCTAACCACCATGTCACCTGCCAGCCCCTTTTATTCAATTTTTTAAAAAAAATTATTTAAAAATACATACATATATGTATTTTTTAAGTTTCTTTCTTTTTAAAAATTTTTTAGAGAAATTTTGACTATAGGCCACATGTACTTGCTGGAGAGACAGAGAGACAGAAAGTGAGAAATCAGCCCCAAGGAAGGTTGCCCATGCTGCAATCCTTTCTCCTCCATTCTCCTCTCAGGATTTTGAGCATGCATGCACACATGCCCAGCATGAGTTTTAAGCCGCTCGGTCCACACTAAAACTGTGGTCAACTACGGGGGAGTCCAGCGATGTAGCCATTTTATCATCTGCTGGTTCCATCAAATTTTTAAAAAGTGTGAACACCACTGATCAAACCCAACCTCTTTCACAGAAGGAGATAACACACATTTGTGTAGATGACTCCTAGCACGAGGGGTGGGCAGAGGAGGGTGGAGGAGGTGAAGAGAGCTAGAATTCAGCCCACACACCACTCACTTGCCAAGCCCTGCCCCAGGCATACGATTACACCTATTTGCTGGAGAAGTACAGTGCTTAACCTAGAGTCCAAGTCCACTTGAATTCAGGGCCACTTCATTTTTGAGTCTTTACTTATTTATTTATATTTATTTATTAGTTTTGCTAGGGGTAGGAAGAGAGGAAAAGTGGGAAAGCACCTCCCTCCCCACAGAGAGGATAGCCACTTGCAGTCCTTTATCATCTGTTCTCCTCTTGGGATTTTGGGCACACACACCCAGACACACACATCTGGTCTATTTCACAAGCTGCCAGACCCAGAACTCAAACTGTGTCATTGGCCGTTGGGATCCACCTGCCTTAAGCACCACTCCACCTGGCTAGCCCAAGTCTCTTTAATAGTGACCTCTTTTGAACGCACATACCCAGGATTGGAACGCCACCTACCCAACACTTTCTTGAATCTGTGACTTTCTAGGGGATAGACAATGACACTCTCCTCACCCCTCCCTCATCCCAGCAGTCCCTCTCCTTTGAGCACGGCATTCAGAGTTCCCAGCAGTCAGTGCCTGGAGGCCTGACCATTCCAATGGTGGCCCTGGGTCATGGCTGCCATGAGTACTAAGGCCACATAACAGGCATTCTACAAAATGTGTCTGTGTCATACAATCTGTCCTTTTGTTGCTATAAGCTTATTGCCTTTGTCACATCTCATGACCAAACTCTTTCTTTGGAAAATGTGGTCCCTGCAACCATAGTATTCTTCTCAAGTCAAAGAAAGGCTGGATTTTGGAATTGAACCTAGGTTCATTTGGCCATTCATTGGCCACTTAGAGGTTGTATGATGTTATCTAAGATATTCTGTCTGTTGGGGACTCAGTTTCTCATCTGTAAAGTGAAAATAATTATAACTAGAGTTATGACTGTTGAGAAGACTAAAGATGATGAATGTGAAACTCTAGCACTGTGCTTGTTCCACAGTCGTGCTAAATACACAAGACTTTTCCCTTTTCTTTTGCCTGCCTTAGGCTTTAGAGTGATATAGATTGATGAAGCTTATGCCTATGATTAAGAACCAGTCCCTACCAAGGACACACAAAAACACTTGCTACACACACACACACAATAAAATCCCACCACTAGAGCATTATACTTTTATGTCTAGGAAATAGTACTTTAAGCCAATTAAAATCCATGGGATAGCACATGGCCTATTAGTTAGGGCAGCTGGATCCCACAAGACTAATCAGATGGTTCAAGTCCAGAACTGGAAGCTTGAGAAACAGACTATAAGTGTATGAGGGCATGCCCAAAATTCTGAAAAAAGGAAGACATAGAGGAGAAGGGACTGTGACGGAAGAGGATACTGAACACACTTTTGTGTAGAGGGGTCTGCACTAGGCAGGGGTGGGGCAGGGGTTGGATGAAGAGAGTTGAAATTCAGCCCACACACCACTCACATGCCAAGCCCTGCATCCTGGCATAGGTTTCACTATTTCCCTTGTGTGTGTGTGTGTGTGTGGGGGGGGTGTTTTCTCCTCTCCCTCTCTTTCTCTCTCTCTCTCTCTGACAAGCACACATGCCCTCTAGCAAACAAAACCAAAAACAAATAAAAAAAAATCAGCCATGAGAGTTAGCTGACAGAGAATTCCACTGATAGAATATAGGAGAACCACATAGATGAAGAGCATGAGGAAGGACAAGGGGAGCCCGCATGGTATTGGTGGAAGGGGACTGAACACAACATTGTTCTCTATTTTATTGTGGGGTGTAGTTAGGAGAGAGGGTCCTGTGAAGCAATAGGTCCCCGCTAGAAGTTAATCACACTGTCACCCCCTCAGGCGGGGAAAATGCCATTAAGCTGTGCTTTGTCCCAACAAAAAGGTGAAGTGAGAATTGCAGGGGGTTCATTTCAGTGATGGCTCCCTTCCTCCCCCTCTTGACAGAGCAGGTCTCCACTCCAGAGATTAAAGTGTTAAACAAGACTCAGACGAACCGGACCTGCAGCCTGATGCTGGCCTGCACGGTGGACAAGGGGGACTATGTGACTTATAGCTGGAGTGAGGAGGCAGCCACTCACCCTCTAAACCCAGCCAACAACTCTCATCTTCTGCACCTCACCCTTGGTCCCCAGCACGCTGACAATAACTACACCTGCACCGTGAGCAATCCCATCAGCAACCACTCCCAGTCCTTCAACCCCTGGATCAATTGCAGGCCACAACGCCGAGGTGAGTGTGCAGGTGACTGATTTTGCTCGCTAATGAGTTCTGTTTTATTTTGTTTTGTTTTTTTAAGAATGAGAGGTTTATGCTGTAGGGCATGTGTACTCATCAGAGGAAGAGAGAGAAACAGAGAGACAGGAAGTGAGAAATCATCCTCTGGGGTAATGGCCATGCTACAATCCCTTCTCCATTCTCCTCTCAGGATTTTAGGCTTGCACACGCACACACACACACACACCCAGCATGAGTTTAAGCCTCCAGGACCAGGACTACATGAGAGTCCAGTGACTTAATCACTATGCCATCTGCTGGTCTCTGCCTCACTAATGAGTTTGGGCTCAGGCCTCACCTGAGCCAATTGCACTGCTTCCATAGCCATGGCCTTCACCTTGGTAACTGCTCTTTGCATTTTCCCCATAGTTTGCAACCTACCTCCATCCAGCTCCCACATTGTGCATTCATCAAGTGCATTCCCATACTTGCCAGGGTTACGCTCAGTTTACTGTTGAAACCAATGGGAAGTGATGGAGCCAGACTCAGAATCCAGTCTCCAAGGTGTGACCCTTGTTCTCTGCCTTCACCCTGCTCCAATCTGCAAAGATGGCTGGGTGAGGGAGTGTAGGTGGTGGGTTCTAACACCCAGGTTCATGCTCCACTAATGGGGGATAGCTCTACACCACTAATAGCTATTTATTGACCACCTGTGCTGTAAGAAATTGGGAATAGGTATGAGTTGTGATCTTTTCTCTTCAAAAGTTCATTGCAAAATTAGATATAAAACATATTCACAATAATAAGACATAGGGTAGAGTGAAGGGCCTCATTTTGTGAAATGAACAGTGAGTCCCATAGCAGGTCAAAAGGAAGTCAGAGAGAGGTGAAACTTAGACATGGACTGTAAAGTTTGGGGAATTTAACGCATACCAAAGTTTGGTAAGCTATACAGCTTACACTCAAGACATTGCAGGGAAACATACGAAAATGTTCTTATCCATTTAAGCCACTTACAGGGCTAAGTACAAGGGGCCTTCAAATGTTTATAAGAAATGTATATTATGAAAAAACTATGCATGGATTTCAAAATTTTGGTCCAAACATAAACTCATACATTAATTCCATTTTTCTATGAACTTTATGAAATAGCATAAATAAAGATTTATTGAGTGTAAAGCAGGTTCTTGTGATGGAGGAACAAGAAGCAGCAGAAACATGGTCCTGTCAGGACCTTGGCTCAGTCAGTAAGAGAATTACCCAACGGCAGGCAGCTGTTTTCTTCTAGGGCTTCAGTTTCATCATCTGTATGATTAAAGCCTTGAAAGAATGAACTGGAGTGCTGGGAAGAGCATGCTGCCAACCAGCTGAGTGATCTGGTTGGGAGGGATCTCTCCTTGTGTTATGAGCTGAGTTTTGATAGCCTTCCAGAGTTGACAGCCTATAATGCAGTTTGTACATACCAACCAGAATCACTAATAAAGGCCTGCCAAGGTTAGTAGTTTGCTACGGCTATTGTAAAAAAGCACTGCAGACTGAGTGATTTGAATGATCAAAATGTATTGCTTCACAGTTCTGGAGGCCAGAAGTTCAAGGTCAAGGTGAGAGCAGGGCTGGTTCCTTCTGAAGACTGTGAGATAAGGATTTGTTCCAGGCTTCTCTCCTTGGCTTATAGATGGCTGTCTTCCCCTATGTCTTTTCATATTATCTTCCCACTGCATATATTCTGAGTCCAAATTTCCACTTCTTATAAGAAAAACAGTCACACCGGATTACGGTCCATCTTGATGAAATTTTAAACCATCTCTTTAAAGGCTTTATTTCCAAAAATAATCACATTCTGAAGTAATGGCAGCTAGGGCTTCAACAAATAAAATCTGAGGGGACATGGTTCAGCTCATAACACCATAAGACCTTGTTTTAACTTAATTACTTCTGTAAATACCTTATCTCCAAATAAGGTCATATTCTAAGGACATCGACACATGCATTTAGAGAAATAAAGCTCAAATCATAACACAAGGAGAGACCCCTCAGAACCAGATCACACAGTTGGTTGGCAGCATGCTCTTCCCAGGACTCAGAGTAGCCTAAATACTAAAACAGAGTTTTATGAGTACACTGATTTGTGCTTACAAATCATTCATTCTTTTTTTTTAGAGAGTTTTTTGCTATAGGGTACATACACTTGCCGGAGGTGGATGGTCACATGAGTGGATGGATGGTCACATGGCCTTCCCTTCTCCATCTCTCAGGATGTTGGGTATGCATGCACATGTGCCTGGTGTGAATTTTAAATAGCCAGGTCCAGGACTTGAACCATGGTCAACCACATGAGAGTCCAGTAACGTAGCCATTACGCCATCTGCTAGTCCTGCAAATCATTATTTTTTTAATTTTTTTAGAATTATTTTATTTAACTTTATTTATTTATTTATTTATTTATTTATTTACCTATTTTAATTTGACCAGAGAGGGATAGAGTGAATGTGAGAGAGAGAAGGAAAGTGAGAAAGCAAGCCGCCAGGTCTGGGACTTGAACTGTAGTTGCCAATGTGGGAGTCCAGCGTCCTTAACCAACACAAATAGTTAATTCTTAAAACACAGGGCTTACTTCGACAAAACATTTATTTTAAGTTTTACTAAATTCTGTGTTCTGTGTACTAAGTGCTGAATACACAAAGATAGAACATGATCGTTGTCTTTAAAAAAGGAGATAATTCTATAAATAAATAATTACCCTAGATTACATTGTGTGATAGGTTCAAACCAGAAATATGTCCAAGGTAATAAAGAGTAGGGAATCCCACTGTCTCAGAGCAACAGAGAGAGCATCACAAAAGATATTACATAGGGACCAGTAGATGGTGTAATGGTTATATCACTGGACTCCCATGTAGTTGACTGAAGTTTGAGTCCTGGACTCAGCAACTTAAAACTCACACAGGGTGTGTGTGTGTATGTACCCAAAATCCCAAAAGGAGAAGAAAGGGGTTGGATGGGGCCCTCCCCCCCCTGGGGGGGGGGGTGATTTCTTGCTTTCTGTCTTCCTGTCTCTGCAGCAAGCACATATGCCCTATAGCAAAAATCTCTCTAAAAACAACAAAGAAATTACATAAACTAGGTTTTGAAGAATAGATAGAAATTATTGAAGCTGTTGAAGACATTCTAGACAAGAAAAGCAGATATAACTGATTATTGTTCTAGACCATCCTGTAAATTATGGGAATCAACAGAGTTTTGGGTGGAGGAGAAACACCATTAGTTTCATGTTACAAAGAGAAAATTCAGTGGCCTAAGAACAGACTCTGGTGGGGTCGGCAGGTGGCGTGGTGGTTAAAGGCGCTGGATTCCCATATGGTTGACCGCGGTTCAAGTCCTTCACCTGGCAGCTTGCATTCTCACTTTCCCTTTCTCTCTCTCTCTGTCTCGTCTAGTCAAATGAAACTAAAATAAATAAATAATTCTTTAATAAAAAAAGAATAGATTGGGTCAGGGAAGAGGCAGAATAAAGAGACACTTGCTGTGGGATGGGCATTATTGCAGTCATTCATCAGAAGATGGCTTGAGTCAAACTAGTGACCATTAATTAAGTAGACTTTTTTTTTTTAAGAGACCTTTATCAAGGGCATACAAAGTGAAATCCTCAATATCCTCTGGTGAGGCTGTGTGAAGCCCGTGAAGGTGGTCATCATAGGGCAGTGTGTGATGTGCTGGCATCCCTAACGAGTGCATTCTGAAATATCAATAGTTACCATCCATGTATGGATCATTTTCAAAAGCTTGAATAATTCAACCCCAAAGACGCTCATATCGAAAAGGGAAACTTTCTCAGTAGTTTAGCAAAAAGCTGGCTTAGCATGTCTGAGTGAGTTCGGTGGAAGAAAAGGTTGACGCCTGCCAGTGAGCCCCGAGGCTCCCCAACACTTTTTCTTTTCTTCTCTTTCTTTTTTTTTTTTTGCTATAGAACACATGCACTTAACAGAGACAGAGACAGACAGAGAAATAGGGAAAATAAGAAAGCACTCCTGGGGGATAGCCATGGTGCAACCCCTTCTTCTCCATTCTTCTCTTAGGATCTTGGGCACACGCATACATATGCCTAGAATGTCTTTCAAGTCGCCGAGTCCAAGACTTAAACTATGTGCTAGGCCTTGTGGGATTTGGTTGCCTTAACCTCCATGCTATCTGCTGGTCCATCCCTGTTTTTTAGAGAGAGATTTTTGCTAAAAGGCATGGGTGCTCGCCGGAGAGACAGAGACAGAAAGTGAGAAATCACCCTCAGGGGAGATGACCATGCTACAATCCCCTCTCCTCCAGCCTCCTCTCGGGATTTTAAGCACACACGCACACACGCCCAGTGCGAGTTTCAAGCCAATGGGTCTGGGACTTGCCCTGTGGTCAATCATAAAGGAGTCCAGTGACGTAACCATTACCATCTGCTGATCCCAGTCCATCTCATTTTAATGAGGCCATTTCCTCAAACAGGAAGTTCTCATTGTTTCCAAGTGCCAGGTGTTCCATGCATGGAACAGTTCCTCTCTGTGGTCTGCCCAATTCAGTGAGCCTGACAAGGGTGGAACAATAAACCTGGCCACCTCACATGGGCTGAGCCTTGTCTCATGGTCACACCTGCTACAAGGGAGGCTGAGAAATACAGTCCTTAACTGGGAGCCTAGAAAAGACCTGTATTCCCATGAAGGAATGGGAGGCACCCACAAGAGCCACTGCAGCACAATTCCGAGGGACAGGCAGGTGTAAGGAATTTGTATGGAAGTTGTAAACTCTAGAAAGTTTTCCTCAGATGGTCCTGGACCTTAAATTAGTATATGGTTCATGAGCATCCCTCCCCCACTCCCAATTCTGGGTGGAAACCACCTCCATCAAGTAGTTGTCTTTTGAAGATGACTGACTTCAAGTAGCTGTGTGCTATGGTGGCAGCCTCACTGACAGAACCACATGAAAGGCAGGAAAGAGATCCGCCACTCAGACCGTTACGTTAGCATCTCAGATCTCCTGGGCGAACTACACTTGATTCTCTGATTCTTTTTTGTTTTCCTCTTTATACTTCTTAAAAATTAAGATTTAGAGACTAGAGGCAAGAGAGAGAAGCTTTTGTGTTTCTATGGCAACAGACAAAAAAAGGTCTCCTGGCTTCTTCCTTGGAGGCTTGGCTTTGTGCCGAGTTGTCATGTTTCAATCGCAGCCAATAGAGGAGAGGACATAGGCTAGAAACTCATGCAAAGCATGCTTCGTAAATAGAACAGGAGTTCTCAGCCAGCCTGCTTGGCTGCCACTAAGAGACTCCAAGGGGGAAAAAAAAAAAAAAGTCACAAACCTTTGACTCAAGAATGTCCAGGTAGTGTTTTTTCATGAATGAAGGAGAACAGAGCCTCTGGACCCCAGCACAAACTTTGACTTCTGAGCATCAGCCTCTTAACAGGCCTCACTACATGATTGGGCAAAAAGAGGAAGAGCTGGAGGTTCTGCCACAGGAAGTGGTGGTTTGAAAATGGGAGCACAGGTGATGTATCGTGGGCACACAAACACACACACACACACATCTTGCTCCTGGCTCCATTTTGTTTTTATGAAGCATTGGCCAAGTAGGTCATTGCTCCTTCCCCTTGACTCCTGCCTTGGGCCATTCAGAAGGTGACCCTACATTTTTCTGAGACCTTATCTTATGCATGTAGATCATTCTTTTTTTTTTTTTTTCTTTTCTTGGAGGGGTTTTTGCTATAGGTGCGTGCACTGGCCAGACAGAGAGAGACAGAGAGACAGAAAGTGAGAAATCACCCCCCGGGGGGATGGCCACGCCTCAATCCCTTCTCCTCCATTCTCCTCTTGGGATCTTGGGCATGCATGCAAACGTGCCTGGCGCGAGTTTAAGCCTCCGGGTCTGGGACTCGAACCACAGTCAACTACATGGGAATCCAGCGACATAGCCATTATGCTTACTACTGGTCCCGATCATTCTTTTTTTCTAAGAAAAATAAAAGAAGAAGTTTGTTTATTTATTTATAAATAAATACAGCAAGAGAATCACCCCCAGCAAGATCAAGTCACCATCCACCTCCAGTCTCAGCTGGGCCAGATCACAGGCATGCATATGTTCCTCTCATGCGCTCAGGGAGTCCCAGAATGGAAACTCAGTTCCTTTCTCACATGGGTCCAGGTGGGTGACCACCACACCACCACTTGGCTCCACACTTTGATCATTCTTAACCAAAGGGTACCTGACAGTCTTGTACTAGACCCATTCTTACGGCCTCTAATTTAGCTTAGTTCATCCAGTGTATATTGAGTGTCCCCTGTCCTCCACTGTACTCAGTAGAACAGGGGATGAAGACAAAGAACAAGAGAAAGACACCATCTTCAGAGAATTTACAATCTAGGTAGAACTTCTACAGCTTACTAAATTGAAACTGCTACTAGACTTCCTCCTTGGGAATGAACAGTATTTGTTTAGGATAACAACTTATCCAATGCCAAGCAGAAGGCAGGAAGTAAGTACCCCTCTACCCCAAGGAATCAGGGCGTGGGTTGGATAGTTCTAGAAAGGGAAAGTGTTGCTTTTTCAGAAATAGGGAGAGGAAGAAAGGATTTGAGTCTCAGATGGTGAGAGCTGCCTTGTTTGCAATGAAATCCTCCCCAGTTAACCCTTCGATCTTCATTGGAGGATTTAATACCACGACATTCTCAGTCTGGGGTTTTTGTTTTGTTTTGTGCTTAGAGATTGATGAAAGGACTAACTTTTCACCAAAGACAGCCCAGAACAGAGCAAGTGGGGCAAAAGGAGCAACGACTTAGAGAACAGTGGGGAAATTATTCCTAGAAATTATAAAAATCATGGGCAACCTGACCCCACAAGCTGGAAAAGTAATGTTTTATACGTATTTATCACAATTCCTGAGGACATAGAGCCTCTGATACTTAGTCTTCATGTAAATAACATAATATTTATATGGAAGAGTGCTAATGGATGAGCACCAAGTGTAAACAGACTGGAGCTTGTTACCCAAATCAGGAAACTAAGTTACCAGCAAAGGACAGGATGGGGCTGAAGCATCTCTGGACACCAGTGAAGAGATGCCTTCGGACTTAAGCCAACCCATCTTTTGCTTTTTAGTGAGGACCTACTATTTGCCAAATACTATGGGAACTGCAAAGTAAGTGTCAGAGATGGTCTCTGGCTCCCTAGAGTCTATCAGCTGTTGGGGAATTGAGGCTAGTGGAAGGAGCTGATATTTATTGATTCCATGATGTAGTCTAGGCATTGCTCTGGGCATTTTCCACACATGACTGAACTGACCACTCTACGACCGGAATATATTTATCTCATTTTACAGCTCATATCCCAAAGGATATGAGTAGTCTGTCTGAGGTTACAGAGCTATCAAGTAGTAGACCCAGAATTTGAATCTCTCTGTCTGGCTCCAAATACCATCACTAAAAATGATCTCCATTGCAGAGACAATGTCTCCAAACTCAAGTTCTGAGAAATGTGGTCTAGACCACAAGTGCTGTGGGATTCCAAGGAAAAGGGAATTGGGAGCTGGGATGGTCAGGAAAGGTGACATAAAGGAAGTATTAGTGGTATATTAATCTACTCCTCTGTTGCTAAACAGAAATACCTGATACTGGGCAATTTTCAAAGAATACAGGTTTGTTTGCCTCGTGATTCTGGTGGCTGGAAATCCTAAAGGTACTGGGGTTGTCACCTGCATGGGAAACACACAACCAGCCAACCAAGGAGAGAGATGGGCACGTGCAAAGAAAAAGGAAACAGAATTTCCTACTTCTTCCTACTTCTTCCTACACATACCCCCAGCTAATTAGATGGTGACCTCCCCTTAGGCCTTACTCCTTAAAAGTCTGACTGCCTCCTCAAGCCATTACACTAAGGACCAAGCTTCCAGAACCTGCGACTCTGGGGGGAAAAATCCATTACCCGAATAGTAGCAAGTGGCCTAAACATGAGGCTAGGCAGGACAGCTGAAAACAGAGCAAGAAGGAGGGTGTGGGCTAGAGCACAGGGCCAGGAGTGGGGATGTGTCGGGTGGAGGAGCACCCAACATCAATATATGAGTTACCCTCATATATTCATGTTAACACCTGGCATTACACTATTTAGAATCTTTTTTCTTTTTTGTATTTTTCTCTTTTTTTTCTTTTATATATTCAATCACTATACATCACTTAGCTTGTAAACTGAATTAACCCAACGTGAATATCCTTCACACCAGTCCAGTTGAGGATACTGTACACATTATCATCAACAGATAACTATCCATTTCTGTATCCCATAAATGCCTTGTCTCTCTATTTTCCCCCTTAATTTCTTTCCTCACACTCTCCCTCTTCTTTCACCCTCTTTCCATGCTAACTCCAATATCCATAACCATTTTTCTTGCTCCTATACATCTATGTTTATTGTGGCATTATTTACAACTGCTAAGATATGGAACCAACACAAATGTCCACTATTTAGAACCTTAGTGCTATCATTTACTTAGAATTCTAGTGCTTCAGGTTGGCCCCACTGTTCATTTATGTCGGTAGGACTCTTCTCAAGTCCGTGTCTCTCTGACTCCCCAGGAAGTCTGTTTTTCTGTTCCTAGACCAAGCTCTGGTTTCTGAAGTTTTCCATGCCTGCTCCCTTACCCATGCATGTACACCTAGCTGGTAGGATTGTTGTGAGGATTAAATACACTAATACACGTGATATACTTCAAAAGCCATCTACTTATTGAAAGTGTTTCATGATTGTCTAAATGTATTACGCTAAAGATCTTATTGACTGGGCAATAACTCTCATTCATTGTTTTTAAAGTGTTGCTCCTGGTTCAAGAGGGCTTGGTAAAGTGGATAAAAGACAGAAAGTTGAAAATTGTTTCTCTGACTTTGAGCCTAGATGATTGGTACTCTAGGGCTAATTTTAAACATGAGCATGATCAAGAGGAAAAACAACATGCTTTTCTTTCCGCTCAGGTCCACTGCATTCTACACAGTTATTTGCATGGAAGGGTGATAATAGCACTATTATGTTTATTTTTAAAAAGCAAAAGTAGTTCTTCCTTCCGCCCGGTGTCTCATGAGAATGGCGTGATGGTAGGAGGACAGCACATGGCACTATCATTTTCTTTTTACCCGAAAAGGATACAGGATATGCTAGAAATTTAAAAATAGAGAAACTGGGCAGAAAGATTGACTTAGGATAGATGAAGATAAGTGTAATTTTAGACATATGGTAGTTGCAATGAAAATAAAGCATTTAAATGGGAAAAAATATGTATGGAAATTAGGAATATAAAAGTCAAATACAGTGAGAGAAATTAGAATAAGGAAACAGATAGAGAAGTCTTCTACAGCCGGTCTCTAAAACCATGAACCCAAATGTCTCCCATGGGACAGAAATGTAGAACTAGAACAAGAAGCTCAGTCTTCCCACTTCTCAATGTTGTTAAACTCACAGTACTTTTGAGATTGCCCTTTGTCTTTTTTTCCAGTATCGACACAGTGGGGCCTGTATGCTGGGCTGCTTTTAGGGGGTGTCGCTGGTGTCGTCATTATTCTCCAAGTGGCGAAACTACTGTTGAGAAGAAGAGGTAGGTGTCTGACAATAAAGAGATTCTTAGCAGATGCTCTGTAGTAAGCAAGGGACCTCTTCTCACAAGCACAGACTTCCTCTGTGTGCGATGGCTTTCTGCAGGGATCACCTTTGCCAAACACTACGTAAACGTACCCCCAGGCCTTGCACAACTCAATCCAATTCAGCATGTCTTGACACCTAGACTAAGCTATGGGGATGCATGGAGCCACTGGGCTGATGATTTCAGCACAGTATGACTAACGTCATAGTCAAGATCTATATAAGATGCGTAAGGGGTTCAGACAAGAGGCTTAATAGTACTCAATAGTACTAGAAAGTAGAAAAGTCTTGAGTTTTGTTCAAAAAGCCACCCAGAGTAGACTGAAGTCATTAAGGCCTAATTATGCCCCTGCAATTTTAGTTTCTAGAAGTGATATCTCCTGGCTTCTCCTCTAAATTGTCTTGTGATTCAGTATCTCCAGACACCTTGGTCCCCACCGCCACGCTGACTGCCACTGAACCATGTGGGACTTGGAATGTCCTGCCCCAAGACCAGGACAGATGTTCTGGCTGGTCTTGGGAGAGGACTTGGTCCACGGACCAAGCCAATGGCCGATCTGACTCTCAAGTAGACAAGGCTTATTCACATGCAGCTTTCTTAGAGAAGTCCTTACCTTAGCATTCTGATGTTGGTTTTGAAAAAAAAAAAAAAACTATAGAAAAAAAGGTCTAGATCATCGCACAGCTGCCTACTGTCTTCTCATTTCCTCCATCATAACTAGGAGGGGTGGCTGATTCAGAAAGAAATTATGTTGAGAACTGAAATCATAAGGCAATGGTGAGATATCAGACATGAGAAATGAGATTAGCCCATGAATCTAGTTAGCAAAGATGTTGGAATCCTAGCCCATACTAGTTCCCCAACTACATTCTGCTCGACACGTGACTGTGCTCCGGAGGGAAAGTGCGCCCTCTACCTTCCCCAGCACACATACCCACCCTCATCTCCAGTCACCATTAATTCCTTCTAAGTCCATAACACACAAAACTCTGCCTTGAACCTGTGGCAAAATCTTTATTTAGTTGCTAATTTTGTTCAAGAGATTCTGTTGGCAGTTCTTGGAATATGGCCTATTTCTTTTTATAAAAAATAATTATTTAACTTTACTTATTTATTTGTATTTGACCAGAGAGGGAGAGGGAAAAAGAGAGAGAGAGAGAGGCAAAGTGAGAAAGCAAGCCACCAGGTCCTGGACTTGAACTGCAGTCAGCCATGTGGGAATCCAGTGCCCTCAACCACCATGCCACCTGCTGGCCCCTAGAATATGGCCTACTTCTGAACATTTTCAAACTGACTGGCGATTTTGTGTCCAGGAGAATACACTGATTAAGAGTATGGGCTTTGGGGACCAGTAGGTGGTGGCACGTAGGTTAAGGCAGTGGATCCCATATGGCTGACTCTGCAGTTCAAGTCCCAGACCCAGTGGCCAGGTGTGCGTGCATGCCCAAAATTCTGAGTGGAGAATGGTGGAGAAGAAATTACAGTGTGGTCAGCCACCCTGGGGCTGATTTCTTACTTCCCCTCTCTCTCTCTCTCTCTCTCGCTCTAGCGAGTGCACGTGCCCTACAACAAAATGAAACAAGCAAGCAAAAAAGCACATGGGCTTTGACAATAGACAGGTGTACGTTTAAACACAGACGTTGTCACTGACAAGCTGTGTGAGCGCACATGACTGAACTCACCTGCAAAGTGAGGGTATTGCCGTGGGATTAGTGAGTGAGCACACAGAAAGCACTGAGCACAGTGGCGTTCGTGGATGAGAAGATGATTCAGACATGCATTCAGACATACATACATAGACAGACCTCTCACTGTAGGGTGAGTTAAAACATCAGTGTTTAAATCCGATGGCCAGAAGGGGGCACTAGAAGCATCTGGAAACAACCTAGAGCAACGACAGCCAGCCTCACTTGAACTGGTAGTAACATAAGCCAGCTTTCTGCTTCAAGTAAAAGCTGAAAAAGGCATTAGACAGCTTACACCCTCATTTTACAGTGATGGTAAGAGAAGAGACCCAGCGAGAGGACATGATTTGTCCAGTGCTACATAGATAATAATGGCTAGAATGTATTAATAGATGCCCAAATTCTAAGGCCAAGACCTTTTTCATTAAACCCTAAGACCTTGCTGACTTTGAGCCAAGGTGAATTGGCTCCTGAAAAATCTGTTCTTGCACGGGGGGAAAATATTCTGAGACTAAATTTTTGTGGTCCAGTGGTTTTTTTTTTTTTTTGGTTTGGTTTGGTTTTCAATTGTTTTCTTTCATGAGAGAGAGGGAGAGTCAGAAAGAGAGATGCACACACGTATGCATACAAGCACCCCCATGCTGCAATCCCCCAATCCTTTCTCAGCCAGCCAGGATTACGGGCACATGTGTGCATGCCTGACGCGTGCACATCAGCCCAGGAACTGAACCTCACCTTCTGCTGGGCTTCCAGCACTGCACAGCGTTGCGATACTGCTGGGCCACCACAGTGGGGCTGGTTCGGTGGTCTTTTTGAGCAGCAACAGCCAGCTTCACTTTTTCGCTCTGTCTACACATTTAGCCCTGTTCCCTTCATTCTAAATTTCAGCCTATCTTGCAAGACTGAAAGTCCCTGAGGACTGGAGTCTGTTCCCTATTCTATTTGCATCCTCTATAGCATCTGGACCACTTAGCAGGCACGACTCCCATGTAGATACTTGTGGATATGAGCCAAAAATGCATGCTACCTAGAACTAACTTGTACCCCCTCTGCTACCTCCAACTACTGATCAACCTCCATTTTACTTACACACACACACACACACACACACACACACACCTCACACACACAGCCTCTTCAGTCAGGATCAACCCTGACCAAAAAAGTGAAGTCGGAACCACTGGGCTCGCCATGCCCACACGCACACAAGAAAATCACACATTGCCTTTCCTTGAATTCCTTGAACTCCCCCAATGACCGCCCATCATTTCCTCCTCAAGAGGAAATGCAGCACGTTCCTCTGTGGTCACCACTTACTAGGACTTTCCCTTCCAGACAAAAATAGTTCTCCTAAATGCTATTCTCTTAGAAACAGGCTTCCAGTTTTTTTAAAGAGGATAAATTAATTGGTGTTTGATTAAGTCTATCCTTGAGGCTGAGTGATTTCCTCTGGGTCAAGCCTCCATTGCCTCTGTCTAGACTTTTCATCGATCCCTTAGTGGGAATTCCATGCTTCCATCTGTTACCTTCCCACCATTCCCCACTGCATGATGTGTGTGAAGGATACCATGCAGTATCAGACATTAGAGCCAGACCCATTGTACTAGTGCCAGACCCATTGTTCTAGCAGAAAAAAATGTCATCAACACAATTTAAGTGAAAATGTCAAGTTATAGAGAAGTGTATGTAGAATGATGCCATTGGTGAAAAAGAAAATATCTGTAAGTGTAGCAAATGTCCAGAAATGCACTGTCCAATATGGTAATCGCTAGCCACATTTAAATTAATTCGAATTAAATAAAATTTAAAGTTTAGTTCTTCTGTTACAAGTCAAGAGCTCAATAGCTAGCTGTGGCTTGTATCTGTATCAGACTGCAGATGGGACATTTCTTTCCTTAGAAACTTCTGTTGTACAGAGCTGGTCTAGAAAGATGTGCATCAAACTTTAAAATATGGCCACTTTTAGAAATTAAGTTGGGTTGATTACTGGGGAGAGGTGGCTATATTTTTACTTTAAGAATATCTAGATTATTTTAATTTTTTCAATGACAATGTATTGCTCTTGTAACTTAAAAAAATAAAACTTTAGAAGTCCAGCTAAGGGGCTAGCAGGTGGCATGGTGGTTAAGGCGCTGGACTCCCTCATGTCCTGGACCTGGTGGCTTGAAAATCATGCCAGGTGCATATGCATTTGTGCCCAAAATTCCAGGAGGAAAATGGAGGAAAAGGGATTATTGTAGCGTGGACATCCCCTGGGAGGTGATTTCTCAGTTTCCTTCTCACTGTCTCTTCTCTCTCTGTTTCTCCCCAGTCAGCACACACACCTATGGCAAAAACCTAAAAATAAAAAAAAATTAAAAAAAAAAGCTAAAAAGTAAAATGTTCTTCAGCATAATAATTTCCACACTCTGAGCCCTGAGCAAAATTTCCAGATGGTAAACAATAGAATGACACTGTAGCTTTGTAGCTTTAGTTTCTAAATGGCCTCAGATAATCATCACACCTGCACACCTGCATACACACCCGGTCTCCCAGAAATGGGAGGTGAGAAAGCTGTGAGTGCAGAATCGCGCTATCAAGCTGTGGAATTCAAGAGGTATAATTAACCATATTAGGAGACCAGATCTGTACATCAAATAATAGAGAATAAAGTAACTGATTAGAATAATACCTAACACATACTGGATTTTTGCTGTGTGCCAGACGCTATTCTAAACATCTTACAATATCTCATTTAGTTATCACAAGAGTCCATGAGAAAGATATTTCAAATCCCACTTTATAGATAGAGAAAGAGGCCTAAAGGTAAAAGAACTAACCCAATGTCAAATGACAGTGTTTCATCTCTGTGGACTCATGGGGGAAGTGAGTAGGCTATGGGGAGTAAAGATCAGCCAGGTCTAATCAGGGAGTTCGTGTTGAGGACCAGAGAGAGATAATCTTACGGTTTCTTTTCTCCAGGTAAAGCAGACCATTGCCAACCACCAATGGAAACAAAGAGCTTCACTATCTACGCCCAAGTCCAGACCTCAGGAGTAAGTTCTAAACTTTCTTTGGGGCAGACCTGTCATGTTTCCCAAAGGATTCCCAGCCAGTCCACCTTGCATGTCTGATATCCATGGTTCTGCATGGATTCTAGAGCAGAGGAAACTAAGGAAGCAGAAACCTAAAGGTTACCTAAGTTCCCAGTCGGGTGGAATTATTTAGTATTCGTGGGATACACTGGGTAATCTTCTTGCCATCTGTTTCTTCATAGCAAAAACAGTACGAAGCTGGAACACATAATATATGATCCCTTACAGCCCTGTGTTCCAGGAGTCTCCTCCTCTAGGGAAAAGGGTTCAATCTAGGGGAAAGACAGGGGAAGGTCTATAAAAACTACTATGTGCTATGTTAGCCCGATCCAAGTTTAGGTGTTTGCAAAGTGTGAAAGCGACAAGGAAGGGAATATCTTTTATTTTGTGTGTGTGTGTGTGTGTGTGTGTGTGTGTGTGTGTGAGGGTTCTGCTGTAGGGCGTGTATACTCGCCAGAGAGACAGAGAAACAGAGAGACAGAAAGTGATAAATCACCCCCCCCCGGGGGGGGGGAGGGCCA